AACCAGGAAGCCTGAACACGGATTGGAGGGGATGCCACGTGAGTAGGTCTTCCGTTGATTTTTGAGGCTGCCAGGCTCTGAGACTTGAGGATGTTCGGGTCTTCGGAGTTTAGGTATAGACTCAAGGTTTAGCGCTTAAGGCTTTCAGGCTTTCGGGGGTCGGAAGATGATGTCGGATTTGGGAATGTGTAGTTCCAGTTGTTTACACGGCCTTCCACAAGTGGGTCAGGGCTGAATCGCTCCACTCATGCCCTGGCTACAAACCGTAACAGTGTCTAGGTCCGGGAGGTTTTTTGCAACTAGGCATTTTGGTTTCAGACATCTGACGAGCACTCAAACGACCGCACCAGAAACTCTCAAGCTCAGTAGTATCATTGAGCCAGCGGCAACTCTGGACTGATGAGAATTCTTGTCCAACCCCTCCTGAACATCCTGCGTGTGCGCGTGTCTAGGGTCTAGGGGCTGCAGCGGACTTTCATGCCTGTAGCAAGTTCTCAAAGCTTCCATACTTCCAGGAGTTCGCTGTTGTCGGGTGGTAGTCTGTCACCCCGAAGCCCTCGACCCAAACCGTCGTTCCGCAACCTAAACACCCAACCTTACCGTCCCCATGTGCAAGCCGAGTCAATACATGCCCGGTAGTAAAGTTTCGTCGCATCCTCTAAAGGCACTAAAGGGAGTACACGGAGTACAGGGAGTGAGGAATACCCTTGCCTGGCTAGCGGAGGAATTATCATCCAGGAGTGAATTTATAGTACTATATCTGTTCCTGGCAGAGGACTTGTGGAGGAGTCTACGGGGGGAAGGGAGCAACACAAGAGTGCGAGATGATGTGTGTTGGATGTTGGGCCACGGTCTGGGGAAAGGTAAAAACACTGAGGAGAAATGCGGACAACTCATGGAGGTAGAAGATGTTCTCCGACCTTCAAGACTCGTTAAATCCTGAACCCAAAGGCAGAACCCCGAAATTACAAGCTTCTCTCACACTCCTCTCTTCGGGGTTTAGCCATGGCAAGGGTCAGGGCATCGTACGAGCAAAGAAAGACATGTAGCAGTGTAGTAGTCTTACACCGAGGTCTTTCTACGAAGACCTCTCTATGGTCGTTCATGCTGTAAGAACATGGGGGGGGGGGTGTCTTCATAATCATATGTCCTCTTTGTTAGGTTATTTGCTGTGATACAGGGGTCTTAGTGCTGATTTATCATGAGAAGAATGATGTACTACCTTGCAGCCCCCCCGCTGATGGTACTTCTACTATTATAGTTTCCCCCGAACTAAGTCGTAGGTGGCGATCGTATGCTGACCCTCCCTCCATCAGCCGATGATCGCAAGGGACCGCATGCTGTTCTCGGAGATATTTGCCATTCCAGCAGGTCGGGTTGAGCTTTGGGGTTTGGGGTTCAGGTTTAGGGTTTGGTGCATAGTAGGAAATGTTTACCATAATTAGAATCGTTGCGCTCGTAGTAACCATCGTCACGAAGCTTATCAGCAAGATTCAGTGATCATGGTCGAGTGAAATGCTGCGCACATTCAGCGATTGCTAGTGTTTGCACGAGTCAGCGTAACCACAGTCACAGTGGCGCTTTGATGGCACGGACGCGACAGCGAGTACTCAGATGAAAAAGTCGGAGTACAGACTGACAAGAGTCATGTTATACTCATGACGATACTGGAAACCATGGTAATGACGATAAGAAGCGGAACGGATGTGAGCACTACGATTATTCATGACTCTGGTCCTCGTAATGATGGTCTGTCTATAATGACACTCCGAAGCAAAACAGTTGTGACCACCATGAGGATACTTTCAGGGTTTCGCGGTGCCGGTGGGGGGAGTTCAGGTTGGCCGTTTGGGATCTTCAGGTGTAGGGTTGAGTTCAGAGACTTGGGGTTCTTGATGGTTTGGGGGGTCTGGAATCTGGCTGTTTGAGATCTTGGAACGCCTGTGGGATCAAGGGCGGAGCACACAACATCGAATTTTGGGTGAGTGGGGGGTATATAAGTGCAAACCCCTCAACCCTAAGCCTTAAACCATCACGTGCAATGCTGGGTTTTGAGTCCCTAAACCCCGTAACCCTAAGCCCTAAACCATCACATGCATTGCTGGGTTTTGAGGTTCAGGTGCATGGCCCAATCAACCTGCACCCGTCGAGCCCCACCTACACATGAGGTTATTGCAAAAGTTTCCGTATCATTCAGGGCTCTTATAGAGAGCGCTATGCACTTTTCGATATGTGTAGGTCGTTTCGGGAGTTGAGAGCTACTCGAACCGAGGTTCGATAGTCCACTGCGCCTGGGATCGGTTCAGGGTTTCCTAGTTTCCTACCCCGCAAATTGGAAGCCCCAAAGCCCCTTGTCCCTGAAAGCCCCGGACGGGTAAAGTGCTGAGCCAAACCCCAGAATCCTATGGCTTCCAACACGCCGAGCCCTCAACCCTCAGCTCTAAACCGTAACCCCCGAAAAAACCGTCACCCCCCGATCCCTGAGGTAAGCGTCCCCCAAACCCCGAAAGGCAACCCCTATAGGCCTGAACCCCAAGCCCTGCACCCAGAGACTCCAATTAACCCCTTAGTTAAGGAAATATACCTTCAAGTCTTATAGGCACCCTAAGATGGTTTAAGGCTAAGGTATATTCCTTGATTAAAGGCACCTTAAACCCTGAGCCCCACAACCCCGCAATGCTGTGAGGTGGCGCGTCGGTCTCCGAATTCTCCTTGGACGCGCCGGCAGTCCTCCGCATCGTGGCCGAGCCTGCCGAGACTCGCTCGCCCAGAGAGGTTGAGGGCTCCATAGCAAAAAGGGGGTTTAGGGTTTAGGTTTAGGGATCCATGAAGATCGTTTTATCGGGTTTCTACGGGTTTTCAAGCCGTGGTACTGGGCCTCAATGATTGCGATGCAGATCCCGCCTTGCTAAACCCCTCTCCTTTTAAGCAGCACGATGACAGGAATCACTGCCTTGGAAGAATGCGGGGTCGTTAATCGGAGTGTACAGTGGGGGCCGCAGTACGACTGAAACACGGGCTTATCAAGGGGTCATATCCGATCATAGATAGGGGCTTTTACTTTTTGTAAAGGTTTTTGTGGAGGTTAAACCCCAAACCACAAGCCACAAAGTCCAAACCCTAGACGGGCACCACAAAGTCCTAAACTAGGTGGCACTATGGGAAGCTTCATATCTTCGCTTATGGTCCTATGGACGTACCTATTCATAAAAGTTTGGGAAACTACAACCCGGTCCTAGACCTCTTTTTGCCTGTGAGGACATCCTTGCTCCGAGGATGTCTGTCGAGATACACCAAGGTGCTTAGGGTTTTGGACTTCGGGTTTAGTTGTTTCTGTCCCAAGAGTTTGGGATTTCTGAGTTAGGGCCTGCGGCGGCTTCGGGCTGAATTTAGAACTTGCATAATGTGGGCTTGGGTGTGTTGCATAGGATGTTGGAGCTACGGCTCATTTCGGCTTTAGGCTTAGGGTGTGCACGGGTTTGCCTCCTTAGAGTCCTTCATTCTGGCTTAGAACAGAGACTTGCTTTTGGTTTTGGCAGCCCTAAACCCTAAACCGCAAAGCCTGGCAAGCAGTTTGTGTTTTGCTTTACAGGCCCCAAGGCCTGTGATCCAACACCCTGAAGCCCTATCTGTGCCGCAGGTGTGTTTCTTGTAGTACAAAGAGACTCCAACACCCCTTCGTTAAGGAGCATACCGTTAAATTTACGGTATATTCCTATATATTCCAAAAGGAATGTGCCTTAAATATTGTAAGGTATATTCCTATATATTCCTTAATGAAGGGGTTTTGGGTCTCTGGGTACAAGGTTTGCTGACTGACCAGTGTTGCCTTGCGGCTTCTCAGGAGTGCCAGTGGCCCCTCTTTCGAGCGCCACTGTTCGGTCTTACTGCTACTCCTAAACCCCTAAACCCTAGACGCCTAACCCCTAAAACCCTAAACCCTAAACCCCTAAAGCCTTAAACTCCTAAACCCTAAACCCTAAAGCCCTAAACTCCTAAACCCCTAATCCCTGAACTGCACGGACAATTGGGTTGACGATCTGAAGGATATTCGGGTGGGCTTGCGGCTTACGATGGTAGTCATGGTAGTCCTGAGCCCCAATCCCGAAAGCCGGAGCCGATAAGGTCCGAGAGTCGACGCATGAATAGGGTTTACCTGCACGTCCCTTTGTACGACCTTTTCTCCGTTTACTACTTTTATCACACCTTTTCTGGTTCCCTCTAGAAAGGTGGTTTCTTGTGTTTTTTGGTTTCGCGGAAACCAAGTATCTTGAGTCTTAGATTTTGTGGTTGCCGGAAAACCTGGTTTCGCTCGAGATGCGGTCGCTGGCTGCTCTCTCAGCATGTAGACGCATGGCTGTATATATGGATATATATATATATTATATATGCTATATATATATATCAATGTCTTTGTATATATATATACACACACTCACATATATGTATATATAGATAGATACATACATATATATATATACACATACACACACATATATATATATAAACATGTATATGTGTATATATGTATGTGTCTCTATATATATGTTTTTGTTTATATATATATATACACATGTGTATGTGTGTGTATACATATATATGTGCACATATGTGGTATGCGTATACACGCATGTATGGGGGAAGATTCATGGAACTATAATACTGTATACAGCTTTCTACTAAACTTGTATGTCTATTCTAGACACACATAAAGTTCCCGAATCTTCCTTCATATATATATACATACATATGTATATCTACACAGAGACTATATGTACCTATCGATCTAAATCCCTTCAAAGCCTGCTGCCATGGAACCGGCATCCTTGCAATTCCGCCAGGGCCCTAATATATTTGTGCAGTGACCAGAGGCTGCTGCTGCACAGAAGCACAGATAAGTTCTGCATTGCTTGATGTTGGTTGAATGCTGTGTTTCGCACCTCCGATTCTGCAGGCTTTGAGGCTTTTTTTTGCGAGTTTTCTGTGGTGAATAGCTCGCCATGGATCTTGTTCCAGCCCCTGCTGGTGTTCCAGATGCCGTTGCTTTGCCCGATTCGGCAGCCCGACGAGAGGATCTGCAACTCCTCGAGAACCTCATGAATGAAGTTTGTCAGGTGCTGCGTATAGTGATTGCTCATGCCTCCATTGATTTTTGATGCTACTCCATCCGATGATAACCCTTGAGGAGTGGCATGAAAACCAGGAGTTGAAAGCCAGGGTCTTCGGTGCCGAGAAGAGAATGTTTCTGTGGCCGGGTGATGCGAAGGGCAAGAAGAAACAGGTCACAGCCCTTGCGGTGAAGCTCAACAAGGTCTCTTATATAAATAGTTTTCCGGGGGTTGTATCTTGTGAATGTTGTTGTTGTTGTTGAAGCATTGTAGTGTTCGAGCTTTCTTGCGAGGATTTGCTGATGCCAATCGTGGGGCGATGCTTGCAGCATTCGCTTTTGGCCACAGTGCCGATGATGGAGAAAATGCTGGAGCACACGTGCGATGAGTGGATGGTCCTTCGGATCTGTTAAGTGTTCATGCGCCCGAAACATGTTGTCTGGGATACCTTGAATACCTTGGCCGTGAGGTGCCCAACCTTCCCAGCAACGTCTTCAACAAGGATGCCCGGAACATGAAGACGGCTGTGACGTGCCATCGAAGCTCCTGGGTGCAAAGGTTTGTGCTTGGGAATGTTGTTGCTAATTTTGCCTGTGTGAGGATTGGCTGATCGCTCGGATAGCCAGCGTGATGGCGATGTGCACGAGCTAACTGCAGCTTGCAAGCACGAAGATACCGCAGGATCTGTGGGTAAGGCAGAGCTACGCAAAAGATCCAGATGGGTTCTGGCCACGGAGTGCCCGATCTCGCGCTTCCACGCGATCTTGGAGGATTTTTCGAAGCCGCGCTTCTCCAAGAGTGTGCGGCAAGCGCAAGGGAAATGCAAGGGCAGGGGCAAGGGTGCAAGATGCCAGCAGTCGCCAGATGAAGCCGATGAAGCATTGGTTCCCTTGGGCCCTCCAGAGGACGAGGAGGCTTTGGATGAGGAGCAGGATGCAGCTCCGAGTGAGCCTGCAGAGGACATTCCGGATGATGACGGGCACGAGAGCCAGGACGGAGAGTCAGAGCCAGAAGCTCTGGATCTCATGCTGAAGGAGATCGATGCACTCCCCACCCCTGTGCTTGTTGAAGACTCCCCGATGCCCGGAAAGACGCTGAATTCTCCAGCTGGATGTCCCTCTACCCCAAAAGGTGAGTGATATTGTATTTCCATGCATTCAACATACATGTCCTTGTTGTGATAATGCATAGCCGAGGCTCCGGTGGTTCCGAGGATATGCTTGGGGAGCTGCGTGCCCTTTTGCAAAGGCAGAATGCCAGGCCACGGGCCTGTTGCTTGTGACAGGCCTGCTTGTGTTTTCATGTGTGTACATGATCAAGGCTCTTTGGTGAGCACACAGATCTGCATGAGACGCTTCCCACGGAAGAGGATTGAATGCATATATTATATTATATGGTATCTGCAAAACTGCTGCTCAGTTTCTCTCTGGTGGACTGCATATCTGATCTATAGCTTATATATATTGTATTGCCCCAAGATGAACTGTCGCGGGTTTGCAGATACACATGCCTCTTATTTTACAATATACATATATACTTCTTTGATCAAGGATTTTCTGAAACATTGCACGATGTTGGATAGCAGGACTTCGCGCCGGCTGCACTTGTGTCAAGCCGGCCAAGCAGCATCCTTGTGGAGGAGTTCTTGGGTGGTGAAGTTGAGCAGATTCTGGGGGCTATGGTGTGCATGTGGACATGTTCTAAATAGGTTATAGAATGTGGTTTCATAAAGAAGCGTTCCAACACACACACAGAGAGACACATTTGCCTCTACTCATCTACATATACATTTACATTAATATATAAATATATATACAAATATATGTGTATATCTATATATATATATATATAAGAGAATCTGTATATAGTACACACAGGCACGCAGTTACATACATACATACATACAT